TCATACCTGAAACCACCCCACAGCCGGACCGACGCGAATCCGACTCCCGGTGGGACCGGCCGGGCACCCAGCGCTCACATTCGTTCCTCGGCTCTCCCTTCCCAAAGCCGGGGTCCGCCCAGATCTAGCTCGCATCTATAAACTCCGCGATCCCCGCTGGCGGCGGAGGCGTCTGCTCGGCTCGGGACCGCCCGTCACGGCGAGCCCGAGAGGACAACAAGCCACGTCTCCACGGCGTGCGGTGCCCAGGGCTGGGGCGAGCCTGCGAGCCTGCGAGCCTCATTAACAGCCAAGAGACCGACCAGACCGAACGCTCGTCCCCACCACGGCGGCCAATCGGGAGGACTGAGGCGCTGCCCGGCCCGCCCGCCGAGTGGCGTCACTTCCCCAGCAACCTGACGCTCCTTGCCCTAGCAACCGGCCTAGACCGAAGCAATAGAATTAGGCCAGATGGAACCGAACCAGACAAAGATCTGGCGGACAGGTTTATTCGAAATGTAAAAAAAGAAAGAAACACACACACACACACACACACAGACCAAGAATGGGCGACTTGGAGCGGTGGTAGAGTTTTTCCAAGCGTGCGTAAAGGCCCGAGCTCGAGCCGCACTGTGTTTTGGTTTTTTTAAGGCTGAGAATGGAGCCTCAATTCAGAGATGCTGGCTGAAATCGACCCCTGCCCAGCGGGCTCCTCCCTGACATCATTGGCCTCCCTGGTCTAGAATCTCCAGTGCTTTTCAAACGCGAACCTGCAGGCCAGGCCTATCACTTGGGAAAGACGAGAAACTGCAGGCCCGGGTTTCGACAGCCGGGGATGGAGCCTGTGATCCCAGCGAGCGCGCGCTGCTGCTTCCAGCCGGGTGACCTCTTTCTGAACCCGCCCAGTGTCTTGCGTTACTGGTGCATTTGCACGGTGCAGTGAGCAGAGCCGCGGGGACCGGGTCTCCTCCCCAAGGGGTTGTAGTTGGATCCCTGAAGTGGCTGAACCTTGCTTGGCCTGCACAGGCTGGGCCAGCACCGATCTTCAGGGCAGCAGAACCCCACGTGCCTCACTTGGCCAGATGTTGCTCCTGGTACTGTGCACAGGGTCTTCCGCGCCCATGGCCGGCCTGGAGCTCACTGGGTAGGGGAGGGAGGTCCGGGGACTGCAGGCATGCGCCACTGTGTCTGATTGACGCGGTTCTGTGGATCACACCTAGGGCTCCGCTGATGATGACGGTCAAAGGAAATACTGGCAAGCTTTAACACTGACTAGAATATAAAGAGAATAGGTGCGCTAATAACCCTCCTCGGAGATGTTATATAAGAGTTGCACTCACTGGCTCTGACCCAACTCTTATTCAAGCATAGCGCACAAACTTGTTTTGCTTAGATAATTTAGGGAGATAAGGACATAGAGTTACACTTCTGAGTCAGTTGAAATCTTAAGTTTCCTTCGCCCCTTGCGCCATTTGCTCGTTGGAAAGCGTCCTCTTATCTGAAGAAGCGAGCTGGCCTGCTTGAGAAAGTGACCCCGGGCCGCAAGCTGCTCTGAGAGGGAAACTGGTTTAAGGATAACTGGGACTGTGGACTTATATAATCACACAGAAAAATATAACCTGGAGATAACTGAGGTTGTCGCCTGACTCTGTGATTCTGCCTAATTGTCTGGAAGATGCCACCCAGGGGGAACCCAAGCCCAGTTTCGGCTTCTGTAACGCTTGTTTCATTACTAAAACACATAAATTGGGATGGCAATCTAAAAGACACCTGTAAACCAGGTGTGGTGGCGCACGCCTTTAATCCCAGCACTCTGGAGGCAGAGGCAGGAGGATCTCTGTGAGTTTGAGGCCAGCCTGGTCTCCAGAGTGAGTTCCTGGATAGCCCGAGCTACACAGAGAAAACCCAACCCAAACAAACAAAAACCAGTGTTCTTGACTTTCTCCCTATCTAAAGTTCTGTTTTGCCTTTGAGCCAGGGTAACTGTAGTCCCTGGCCCTGGCCCGTGCCCAGCACCGTGACTAACTATTGTGGTTCTTGGAATCCCCGGAATCTTATTGAAAATTAATCCATCTTCTCTCTTCTTGCCTTTCCTCTGAGGGAATTCAAGAGAGGTAGGAAGTGTACAGTGGTTCACACCCTAATCCTAGGACAAGGAAATCCACCTCCCCTGCAGGAGGATAACCCTTTGTAACGTTCTCTTGTTACTTTGTGTGTGTATATTTCAGCTCAGTGACTTTGTGTGTGTGAGTGTGTGTGTGTGTGTGGTGTGTGTGTCTGTGTGTAGAGGTGTTGTGAGTGTGTGTGTGTGGAGTGTGTGTGAGTGTGTGTGGAGTGTGTGTGTGTGTTGTCAGTGTGTGTGGAGTGTGTGTGAGTGAGTGTGGTGTGTGTGTGTGTGTGTGTGTGGAGTGTGTGTGAGTGTGTGTGGAGTGTGTGTGAGTGGGTGTGTTGTGTGTGTGTATGTGTGTGGAGCGTGTGTGAGTGGGTGTGTTGTGTGTGTGTATGTGTGTGGAGCGTGTGTGAGTGGGTGTGTTGTGTGTGTGTATGTGTGTGGAGCGTGTGTGAGTGGGTGTGTTGTGTGTGTGTATGTGTGTGGAGCGTGTGTGAGTGGGTGTGTTGTGTGTGTGTATGTGTGTGGAGCGTGTGTGAGTGGGTGTGTTGTGTGTGTGTATGTGTGTGGAGCGTGTGTGAGTGGGTGTGTTGTGTGTGTGTATGTGTGTGGAGCGTGTGTGAGTGGGTGTGTTGTGTGTGTGTATGTGTGTGGAGCGTGTGTGAGTGGGTGTGTTGTGTGTGTGTATGTGTGTGGAGCGTGTGTGAGTGGGTGTGTTGTGTGTGTGTATGTGTGTGGAGCGTGTGTGAGTGGGTGTGTTGTGTGTGGGAATGTGTGTGGAGTGTGTGTGAGTGGGTGTGTTGTGTGTGTGAGTGTGTGTTATCAGTGTGTGTGAGTGTGTGTTGTGAGTGTGTGTGGAGTGTGTGTGAGTGTGTGTGTTGTCAGTGTGTGTGGAGTGTATGTGTGTGTGAGTGAGTGTGTGTGTTGTCAGTGTGTATGGAATGTGTGTGTGGAGTGTGTGTGTGTGTGTGTGAGAGTGTTGTTTGTGCGTGTGTGTGTGGAGTGTGTGTGTGGAGTGTGAGTGAGTGTATGTGTGTGAGTGTGTGTGTTGTCAGTGTGTGTGTGAGTGTGTGTGTGAGAGTGTGTGTGTTGTCAGTGTGTATGGAGTGTGTGTGTGGAGTGTATGTGTGAGTGTGTGAGAGTGTTGTGTGTGTGTGTGAGGGGGTGTGTGTTGTCAGTGTGTGTGGAGTGTATGTGGGTGTGAGGGAGTGTGTGGGTTGTCAGTGTGTGTGTGAGTGTGTGTGTGAGAGTGTGTGTGTTGTCAGTGTGTGTGTGTGTGAGTGTGTGTTGCCAGTGTGTGTTGTGAATGTGTGTGGAGTGTGTGTGAGTGTGTGTGGAGTGTGTGTGGAGTGTGTGTGAGTGTGTGTGGAGTGTGTGTGGAGTGTGTGTGAGTGTGTGAGAGTGTTGTGTGTGTGTGTGAGAGTGTGTGTGTTGTCAGTGTGTATGGAGTGTGTGTGTGGAGTGTATGTGTGAGTGTGTGAGAGTGTTGTTTGTATGTGTGGAGTGTGTGTGAGTGAGTGTGTGTGTTGTCTGTGTATGGAGTGTGTGTGAGTGAGTGTGTGTGTTGTCTGTGTATGGAGTGTGTGTGAGTGAGTGTGTGTGTTGTCTGTGTATGGAGTGTGTGTGAGTGAGTGTGTGTGTTGTCTGTGTATGGAGTGTGTGTGAGTGAGTGTGTGTGTTGTCTGTGTATGGAGTGTGTGTGAGTGAGTGTGTGTGTTGTCTGTGTATGGAGTGTGTGTGAGTGAGTGTGTGTGTTGTCTGTGTATGGAGTGTGTGTGAGTGAGTGTGTGTGTTGTCTGTGTATGGAGTGTGTGTGAGTGAGTGTGTGTGTTGTCTGTGTATGGAGTGTGTGTGAGTGAGTGTGTGTGTTGTCTGTGTATGGAGTGTGTGTGAGTGAGTGTGTGTGTTGTCTGTGTATGGAGTGTGTGTGAGTGAGTGTGTGTGTTGTCTGTGTATGGAGTGTGTGTGAGTGAGTGTGTGTGTTGTCTGTGTATGGAGTGTGTGTGAGTGAGTGTGTGTGTTGTCTGTGTATGGAGTGTGTGTGAGTGAGTGTGTGTGTTGTCTGTGTATGGAGTGTGTGTGAGTGAGTGTGTGTGTTGTCTGTGTATGGAGTGTGTGTGAGTGAGTGTGTGGTCAGTGTGTGTGGAGTGTGTATGTGAGTGTGTGTGGAGTGTGTGCGTGTTGTCAGTGTGTGTGGAGTATGTGTGTGGAGTGTGTGTGGAGTGCGTGTGAGTGTGTGAGAGTGTTGTTTGTGCGTGTGTGTGTGTGGAGTGTGTGTGTGGAGTGTGTGTGTGTTGTGTGTGTGGAGTGTATGTGTGGAGTGTGTGTGAGTGTGTGTGGAGTGTGTGCGTGTTGTCAGTGTGTGTGTGAGTGTGTGTGTTGTCTGTGTATGGAGTGTGTGTGGGGTGGGTGTGAGTGAGTGTGTTGTCTGTGTATGGAGTGTGTGTGGGGTGGGTGTGAGTGAGTGTGTTGTCTGTGTATGGAGTGTGTGTGGGGTGGGTGTGAGTGAGTGTGTTGTCTGTGTATGGAGTGTGTGTGGGGTGGGTGTGAGTGAGTGTGTTGTCTGTGTATGGAGTGTGTGTGGGGTGGGTGTGAGTGAGTGTGTTGTCTGTGTATGGAGTGTGTGTGGGGTGGGTGTGAGTGAGTGTGTTGTCTGTGTATGGAGTGTGTGTGGGGTGGGTGTGAGTGAGTGTGTTGTCTGTGTATGGAGTGTGTGTGGGGTGGGTGTGAGTGAGTGTGTTGTCTGTGTATGGAGTGTGTGTGGGGTGGGTGTGAGTGAGTGTGTTGTCTGTGTATGGAGTGTGTGTGGGGTGGGTGTGAGTGAGTGTGTTGTCTGTGTATGGAGTGTGTGTGGGGTGGGTGTGAGTGAGTGTGTTGTCTGTGTATGGAGTGTGTGTGGGGTGGGTGTGAGTGAGTGTGTTGTCTGTGTATGGAGTGTGTGTGGGGTGGGTGTGAGTGAGTGTGTTGTCTGTGTATGGAGTGTGTGTGGGGTGGGTGTGAGTGAGTGTGTTGTCTGTGTATGGAGTGTGTGTGGGGTGGGTGTGAGTGAGTGTGTTGTCTGTGTATGGAGTGTGTGTGGGGTGGGTGTGAGTGAGTGTGTTGTCTGTGTATGGAGTGTGTGTGGGGTGGGTGTGAGTGAGTGTGTTGTCTGTGTATGGAGTGTGTGTGGGGTGGGTGTGAGTGAGTGTGTTGTCTGTGTATGGAGTGTGTGTGGGGTGGGTGTGAGTGAGTGTGTTGTCTGTGT